CTTATAAGTACCGCGCGCTAACCAACTGCGCCACTAGGGCCATGTAAGTCGATTTGCGGAAGTTCTACCAGCTGCGTACGTTCGCAATTAATAGGAAACAACCCGCTGCGTGAACCGGGCGAATAAACACAATAGATGAAGAATGAACACACAAAACAAACACTTGAATTGATAATGAATTGCGACAAGTGAAATTGTGTAACGTACAATGTACGTGTTATCTCTCGTGGTTTCACTTTGAATGATTCATTCGGCTGAAGAGAAATACCGGCGTTTGTAAATGTGGTTTTATCAACAATTAAAAATGATGGCAGACAGTTATCAACGGTTATCAAACCTTGCGAATTCAATGCACAGTGTTAGTCATCTAGGCTATAAGAAGAATAATGTGAAACAAATTCAAATAACAATGGATATTCAACATTTCTGAATGTTTCAAATCGTTCATCCAGCAACCGTTCGAAGTTTTTTAGCGCCAACACAATTGAATTGTATCTGCCATCGATTGTCAAATTGAATCTGTCATCACTTGTTGTGAAAGCACACAAACTTCAGTCGGTACGGCATTCTGTTATCAATTGAATGCCAATTCTGCATACGGTCTATATCAAAGTATCAAATATCCATAACAAACGTAAAAACAAATCATCTGAAAAATTGACAATTCCATTCATTTTGAGGTAAGGTATCTTTCAGTGTACTTGCTTATCATTTAAATTATGTATTTGCATCTTCGTTGAAGTGTGTGAATCGCAAATCAGAATTCTCGGTCTTAAACAACAACAACAACAATAACAAAACAATTGCATCATGGAATTTGCATGCAAATCACACACACAAAATAAGAACGCATACATTGACCTCTGTGTGTCAAGAAGTGTAGTGAGAATCGTTTGTTATGTAGAATTCTGTGTGTGTAAATGTGAATGAGTTCTTATTTTGTTCGCTTATCACAATAACTGTCGAACATGATCCAAACACAAGTCACACGTTAATCAATGCAAAATAATAAATGAACTGAAACAATTCAATATCGAAGAGTCTCAATTTGAAACTGGAACATTAACATTTTTGTTGGCCCATTGGATTTCGATGATTTTTCAAATTGATTAAAATTTTTGTTTGTTTTTCTCTCCATAATTTTTAGAAATGAAGACGAATAGTGTTGAGATCAAAAATGAGTGACAAGAGAAGTGAAGTTGAACGGAATTTCCAATCAGAGAATGGAGAATTTAACGGCGGGCCAAAGTCAAATTCGAAATATTGCAGCTGCTATTCTCAAATTGGACATCGACTGTTTTGAGGAGTTTTTTGAGTGGCTGTCAATACGTAATTTGCTTTTGCTTCGCCAAACGTGCAAACGACTGAAACAAGTCGTCGACTGCTTCATCAAAACGCGTTATCCAGCAGTGAAAATTGGCTTCGGCATCATTACGATTAAAAAAGACAATTTCGATGAAATTCGACAACTTGACCCGATCAAAGTGAAAATGATCCAAGAGGCTACAGTCGATGTGGGCAAGATGACTGGAAAAAAGATTGATAAATTGACAGGAATTTCGGCTCAGTTGCAAAGATTGGAGCTCATTGGAGTAACCAAGGTTTACGAATCGATTCTTAAGTGGTGTACAAATTTGAAATATTCATCCGTTACTACCTCGGTCCATGGGCCAAAAACAGGCAAAGGATATGAATGGCTACTGCATCAGTATCTGTCGATTGAACACATAAAAATGGGTTACAATTTACGTTACTGGATACCGATATGACAGAGCTGAGAATATTTCTCCAATCTAATCCAAACATTCAAACATCCGTCGACTCGGTAACTCTTCACGCAAATTGCAACTGCTTTTTGGGATCAAACATTAAAATCGACCGTTTAAGCGTTTACATTCGGGACTATACCGAGCTTGATGTGGTTTACAGTTTACTTAATCAATTATACGAACAAGGTATCCACAAGCGATTGCATCTGCTCCTTTCTTTCGTCCGTGGTCAAGCAGACATGGATCGAATCACATTGATACGTGGAATGGATAAACTAAGTTTGTTCAGTGTCAAGTTAGGCAGAGGATTAACAAATGCCACCGATGCTCGATTTGCGAGAACTATACATTGAGAATGGTTTTAATTTTGATTTACAGAATGTGGACGTGGACTCTGTGGCAAAGAATCTTGTGAACGAGTTTACTTTGATGTCGGTAGCACTGACATCATTATGCCATTCATGCGACATGCTCCGAAGGTGAAGGAAATTAAAGTCGATTATCTAGAAGAAAGTGCCCATTTCAACGAAGTTATAGGTGTCATCGATCTGCTGGCATTGAACTAAGAGTGGAAAAGGATTGGCTGGTGCATGCAAGGTTACGATTTATGTTGAGGAAGCGATTTTCCGATGGACGAAATTTGAAATGACAAAGACTGAATTAAGTTTGGTCATTCACAAACGAGCTCAAGCTGTCGAATGGACCCATAAAGACTTAAATACAGAAATAGCCAAATAAAGGAAATGTCGAAATGAATTAAGCAAAATTTGAAATTGAAAATTCCAAGGAAAAATGGTAATCCAAAAAAAAAAAACCGAACTAATTTCATTGAAACTGTCGTGGGATCAAAAAGAATGGAAATTATAGAAAAAAACGTAGAGAATTGTTCAAAAATGTGCTGGCATTCAAAGAAATATTGTTCGACATTGAAACGCAAAATAGAATTTTATTCGTTACTCTTAGGTTTATACAACATTTCAAAAACCGAAATGCAACTTGAATAACACAAGTTGTAAATATGTTGCCAAAATGTTTTTGCAACGTGTTTTTATATGATGAAAGTCTAGATGGAAGCTAAGAAGTTCCTGCAACATTACTACAATGAAAAATTCAATAAAATGATTGCTTCTTTTTTTTCAACCAAATATTTCGTACTTCAACAAAAATAGGTCACATAATTTTTTTTTCTTCGGAAAGCTATCGTTCTTTTACTTTGAAATCGCCTCAGATTCCATTCCATATCACTGATACTCCAACACTTTGACGCATTTAAGTTGATTCGGTGTGCTTTTTGATAATATTACAGCTTACCCAGTTGGTTCATCCCAATCGGCCAAAACATAATAACTAGTTACTCAGATAGAAAATCGTTTAGGCGGGGAATTCGATTACCTTCATCACAAATGCCCGAGCAGTTGATCTTTGCTTAGGAAAAAAAATATAGACCAAAGCACATTTTTTAGTGTGATATTCAAACGACACAATTTAATTCATTTTCGCTCCTGTAGATAGCAATAAACATTTATTTTTCAATTGCCATTCTTGAACTCTGTTCGTTAATGAAAAAAGAAAACAGTAAGACAAATGGCAAACGTCTGTTTAAGGCGCTGATAAACAGCGCGTTTTAATTCTGTTTTCAGCGAATGAGTCAGCGATAGCTTTTGAGTATGCGTTAAAAGGATAAGTGTCTGCTCCGTTTTAATGCATGATTATTATATCTATATAATGAATGTGTTATGTCATTCATACATCCATTAAGTGAACATGTTACCGCGAACGTAATATAAGAGACGTATAAGATCATTGCCATTGGGTTTATGGTGACCAACGATTAGATCATATTGCTTGTTTTCAATAAAATTGTCAATTAATGAGCAGACAACAGAAAAAAAAACTACCCATTCATGCCCATTGAATTCGATGCAATGCTTCTGAATTGATGTTGTAATTGAATGTTTAAATCAAATCTTCGTTTCATTTTTTCCACTTAAAGAAACTTAAGTGCACTTTATCGAAAAATCTCTAGCGAGTTAGTCACAAATTTATAAAATAAGAATTCCACACAATCGGCATGGCATGAGTGTACTTTTTTGGCAACGATTAATTTTTATCGTTTTTTTTTCCTCGGGAAGTCGTCTGTAATTGAAAACTGATCTACATTTTTATTAGCACTACATGGAATGTAGAATACATGGAATATAGGCTATTGCATTTGTTTTTTTTTCCCAAGAAATTTTTAAGACTCTTTAGGCCTTATTTTTGGACCGAAAATTAACTCTTCTTTCTATCCAAAGTTCTAATTTGAAATAAAGCAATTACGCCTAATTACAAAAATATAATAATGTCATGTTCATGTAATTCATGTTTGAGATAACTCAAAAAAATTTTTTAATATTATTTTAATTCTCAATGTGAACTAATGTACAATCCACGCTCACATTATCGTTCCCAAAACCAAAATAAAATAATTAATTATACCATAATTTATTTAATTAATATATATTAATATTTATTTATATATCCATATGATTTATAACCAAATTTTTTAATGTTTCTCTTCCATATTTAATTTTTTCAAAGTACGGCAATTTAGTGAAAGATTTATCTAATGAACTTTTTGTCCGGGTCAAACATTATTGATTTTGATTACAATAATTTTCATAAAATACAGAAATGTATACTTCGATTGAAACTACATTCCATGTAGTGCTTGAATGAATAATTTGATGGGAAAATCAAATTAACGTTAAAAAAAAAACCATTTTAAACAACGCAAAAAGAACGCAGAGAGGAGCGAAGCGACGATCTGCGGTCTTGTTTTACTTTATCTTTGTTCCATTAGCTTGGCATTTTGGCAGTTGATGCAAAAAAAAATTATCTGAATTTAGCTGAATTCCAGTTCCATGATGGTTTGAACAGTTTGAAATTGTCCGTTCAAGATATGGGTTGTGAGAAAAAGATTGGTGTCCATCAAAGGAATCATTGTTGGGGAGAGAAATGTTTTTTGAATTAAATCAATTCAAGTAGTCTTGGTCAGTAGTCTTGTATTGTACACAATAAATGAACAATCAAAGAACAAAAAAAAATCAGCGAATTTCAAAAAAACTGTAATATCGATATATAATAGAAAATCGAAGTGAAAAGAAGTGCGATGCATATTTTAGTATTTTCATCATATTTGCTAATATGTTTCGGTGCAGCAATGCAGGAATATCCAGTAACCACGCCGAGTTCGTTGAATAGCTTAACAGGAAGTGGGCAAATAACAAAAGTGTTATCAAAAACATGTTCAAATGAAGTGATAAATTCGAATCAAACCAAGTTAAATTTGTGTTGTTGTACATTGGACGAAATCAACAATGTGATAGAACATCATCCATTTCTATCCAGATTGAACATTTCGAATTCTGAATTCAATACAACATCAACTGTATTAAAACATGCAACTCTAAGCGAACTCATTGCCTCACACAATGAAATACGTACCATTTCATCGTCATTCTTTAATGGATTACCGAATTTAACTTTAATCGATTTGTCTTACAATCAAATTAAATACATTGACGGTCGTACATTCAAGGATCTAACACAACTGTTCCACATCGACTTATCCAACAATAACATTGCCATACTTCATAGAGAGACATTTATGAAAAATACACGTTTGAAACAAATCGTATTGCGAAATAACCCGTTCAACGCTGGATGTGATTTTATCAAGTTGGGAATGAGAACTGCCGTGTATTTATCGTGGGAAAGTATTGATTTTAATATGAAATGCTTTGACCGATCCTTTTATCAGAACATAATCCATATCAACCCAGATATTGACACCAATGCCGTCTTTCCCACCTCCCGCCTTAATATTGCATTGCATTGCAAACAACAGAGTTTTAAACTGGTCACCGAATTGGATTTAAATCGCAAACAAATTGAAAATGTCGGTGATCTGTTGATTTGTTTAACCGCATCGCTTAAAAAACTGAATTTGAATGGGAATCACATTGGACAATTGGACTCTGCCGCCTTTCATCCATTTATCAATTTAACAAATTTAAATATCGGCGATACTGGTTTGGAAAAATTCGATTTCAACAGTTTGTCTCACTTAAATAAATTGGAAAAACTTGATATTTCTCGGAATAAAATCAGAAAATTTGATAATTCATCCAAGTTGAAGGTGTTTCAACATTTAACCCATTTAAATATCGAAAGAAATCATCTGGAAAATGCACAAGAACTTATTCAATACTTAAGCCCATCAATTGTCAATGTGAATTTATCCGACAATAATGTCGGACATCTGAATGCATCGATGGCCGAACATTTAAACAATGTAAAAGTTTTGAATTTGAGCAATACCAATCTTAGAATCCAAAATATAAACATGTTTGAAAACATCTCATTGGAGGCACTTGACATTTCTTACAATCGATTGGAAAATACCGATTTCAACATGAAGAATGTGTGGCAATTGAAAGTATTTCGAGCGGCTTACTGCAATATATCGAACGCATTTGACTTGATCAAACTATTCGGATCATCGCTTCTCCAGCTAGACCTATCTGGAAACATTCAACACGCAATGAACATCGATTTTGAGCCATTCGAACGATTGACTGGCCTTGAAGTACTCAACATTTCTTTCAACAATCTGCAAGAAATCGATTTGTCCTATATAAAAAGTCCAGATTTAAAGGAAATTTACTTAGATGGCAATAATTTGATTAACATTGATGGATTATTCCACTCAACTGCGAGTGCAGCCAAAATTTCAATAATGAATAATCAATTTTCATGTGAAGATCTGAAGAATTTGGCTTTTCAACTGAAGAACGATGAACAGATTGTGTACGGAAATTGTGAACCAAAAAACTATTACGGCAAAAATGGTGGATTGATTGGAAATGTGCATAGCAAACCGAATGAAAGTGGTACCGAGATAAAAGGTGTGTGATTTAATATATAGGGTTAATCTTTTACATTTAAGAACATAAATTGAACGTAATTGTTAATTCTTTTGATTCAGTTGCATCAACATTTCCAGATACAAATACTGGCTGGATGATATATGTGATTTTTGTATTGGGCATCACAGTTATCATGTTTATGGTCGACTATTTCATTTGTCGTGGCCATAGATTCATGCAATACCCGATAAATAAGAATAAAAAGCCAATCGTATTGTCCGATAGAAATAAAGAAACCATAGAATTTCGCATGACCAAGAGTACCATATACGAAGGGTCTTCATCATTATCTTCATCAGATGATGTCAGTAATTTTTACGATGAAATACTCAACCAAGACGTCGTGCCTAAGAACACCTATGATCATCTAAACTTCCCCATTTGGCCTGGTCGCATTCCATTTTCAACTGAAACTCATTATGACAAGCCCGTATCCAAACGGGTGCTACATGGTGCTGAGCTCGAAGTGAATGATTAAATTGAGTTGGAGGATCCTCTGAGAAAGTAGTTGAATACATTTTTTTTTGTCATCGATAAGAGTGTAGGTATATTAATTTTAGACAGTGGCAAACACTACTGTGCTGCAAGCGAATCTGTCAATTTCGACAAATAGTTTGTATGCATCATGCATGATGATAATAATCATCATAATTTTATGTTATTTAATAAGCGTACCAAATATAATTTTAAATCTCCATTATCACACATCAAAATATGTAATTTCGTCATTCCTGGTTTCTGAACTGTATTGCGCTGTAATTGCTAGAAAAAATATATCATATATTGTTGTTTTCTTCCGCGGGAAGTGCGTCAAATCGCATTTACGACAATTTTTTTCAAGAAATTGTTCACAATAAATTTGATAATATTCCAGAAATATTTCAATGTTTGACATCCTGTTTACACCGGAATTTGATATATTTTCTCTACACTACCGCGCAAAAATTTGGTCTTTCTATATGAAATGTATGTTTGCTATATGTTTTGAGTTATTCAGCCCAAATTTAGTTATAAACCGTATGAAATTTTTTTGAAGATGAGATTTGGCCAGCCCATGCTTTTGATCAACATTTTATAACGGATTTATCTTGGTTACTTGGTTAAATGCTGGATGATTTTGATACTTTATGCCAAATATGTTTTTCATTTTTTACTTTGACATCCTATCCAGTGATGCAAATAACTTTTGAACCTGGTGGCCTATTCAAAAAATCAATTTTGGCCGCCGCATATGACAGTTTCCCAAAAAAAACCATACGCCGGCCAAATTTCACATTAAAAATCTTCCATTCGGTCAGAATTGGAGTAGGTTTTCATATTGGACACTGAATTTGGGTGAAATATGGAGAAAAAACGTGGCAACAATACAATTTCATATGGAAACACCAAACTTTTGCAAGGTACTGTACAATGTACATACTAAGACGCAGTAATTTTTATAAAAATTATAAATATCAAGTATTTAACTTTAAATAATTTAAAAAAAATCAGAGCATTGAAGCAGCTGGCTATGTGGCGCTACCAATGAATAGATCTGTTCAACAGCAGCTGTTGGTTGCGTGCATATTCGCTGTGACGCGCCGTCGTTCATTCAACGATTCTGACCCATAGTGTTTGTCTCTTACATTCACACGGAAACAGACAGAATTTGGGAAGAAACAGACAGAGAAGCATATACAACACACGAGACACATCGTAAGCGACGCGCGCGTGCACACACATAGCTGCCGTTCGTGTCTCGTGTGTTGTATACGCTTCTCTTTCTGTTTTTTGTGTGAATGCAAGAGACAAACACTATGTGTCAGAATCGTTGAATGAATGACCGCGCATCACAGCGAATATGCACGCAACCAACAGCTGCTGTTGAACAGATCTGTTCACCAGAAGCGCTACACAGCCAGCTGCTTCAATGCTCTGAAAAATGCGTAGGAAAAAAAACGATTCCTTCCGGGAAATGAAAATTAGTATAAAAGGCGTTTTGAATCTGAATGATTTAGTAAGGATGTATACATTATTTCAGTTACATACTTTTTTTTTGTCAATAATTTGCATTCAAAATTCCAATTGAAATTTTTTAAATTCGTAAGTGAAGAAGGGGAAAAACACAATATCGATGTTATTTTGAAATTAGAAATAGTTCCAATTCAATTTGAACCATTGCGACAAACAAATTCCCTCAGAATATTTTAGTTTTAAAGTGCAACATAAAGTTTTTTTTTTCATATGGAGTTGTTGTTGTAAACTCTATATAAAAAAAAAAAAAATTATGTTGCACTTTGAAACTAAAATATTCTGAGGGAATTTGTTTGTCGCAACGGTTCATTTGTCGTATGGATCAAAAACTGTTTTGTGACAAGACTTATCTTTTACTTGAATAATAAAGTTTTCATAAACGAAATAAGTATCGACTTGTATTTTCTATATCGGAAAAATTTTGAGATATAAAATGATTAAAATGATGTCGTGGTTCGTGATCACCGTTTTTGCATTCGGTTTTATTTCTGCATCCACAATACCAGTTGCTCAGCAAGATCGGTGAGTTGAAACTAATAAACTCAAACTAGTATGATTTTGACGATTTTTCCTTTAATTTTCTACTCATCCAGAATGAATCTGTTCCTGTTGCGTACCGCAATTGAGAAAGGTGTGTTAAAAATTATACCTTGAATTTGTTGAGACTGTTTTAAATTTTGAGCCAAAAAAAAAAACACTCTAGGTAATGTAAGTGAAACCATGCGTTTAATTCAACAAGGAATAGATCTAAATGCTCGATTTGACGATGGACAATCTCCAATTCATTTTGCTGCAGAGATGGGTAAGTGACAGTAGAACAATAATATTAGTTTTCTACACAACCGTGTCGTGTGAGAAACGTATTGAGATCGCCTTAGATTTTAAGATACCTTAAAAACCCGTTTTTTCGATTTTTGAACTCCAAAAAATGTGAATCCAGCGTTTTGTTAAGGTCATAGGGTAGGTGCGTGGTAAACAAAAATACGGTAACAAATTTGCTATGTTCGAAATTATAGAAAAGTGAGTATTGGAATTGCCCGTTTAAAATATGATTCTTCACTCATTTTAATGCATGAAGCATGAAAAGCATGAAAAGTTGTGGTTTGATTAAGACATAAAATAAGGAATTAGATAAACAGACATGGAAAAACTAGAAGAAATAGTGTAGAGAAGTTCACCTTACGAATGTGAGGAAATTTATTCTATTTCATTGTGTCCAAAACGCATAGAAACAGTATCGCATAAGGCAGTTATCGCATAATTATCGCTCGATAATTTTCTGCATGTGGTGCCGCAGAATACGATACTTGAATAGCTTTTGTTTTACGACGCACGCTTGCGTTCGTTTCGTTACATGTGCAAAGTACGAAGGCTATTCAAACTGCGGCAACACAAGCAGGAAGTTATGGAGCGATATTTTTGCGATAACTGCCTTATGTGATACTGTTTCTATGAGTCTTGGACACATTGTTATCAAGATCATCCAAAGTGTTTGTTCAAGATCTATGATGTTTTTGATAGCAAATGATCTTAAGTAAAGATCCAAGTAATTTAAACTTATATATAAGAGACGTAATTCTATTATAATGAATTTCTCACATATCAATTTGTGTTCATCAAGATTGAATTTAATTAAGGTCTGAATGAAAATGCTTTAATAACATTAAAGTTGCGATAGTTATATTATCCACCATTATATAACAGCTTATTGAATTTAATTGAACAGGTAATTTGAATGTTATTGAAACTCTGATTGATCATGGCTCAAATGTCAACGATAGAGATGATGATACCCAGCAGACACCTCTTCATTTTGCTGCAGAGAAGGGTAAGTGACAGTAGAACAATAATATTAGTTTTCCACACAACCGTGTCGTGTGAGAAATGTAGCTGCTTACAATGGTTTGCATATTTTGTATGTGCATTTACATGAACATTCAAATTAATTTCTTATTTATGGCAAAATCAATGTCATCACATTTTAGGCCATGCGGATGTTGTCAAATATCTCATCCAACACGGAGCTTTGGTTAACGTCAAAGATAGTGATGGAGGGACTCCACTTCATGAAGTGGGTTGGAATGGTAATTGTTTACAGTTTTTTTCTATGTCGAAGCTCAAATATTAAATTTGTTCAATCATCCAGTTGATGCGAACGTTACCAATGTTCTCATAAAGTACGGTGCGAATGTTAATGCTGAGGATTATAGTGGGACTACGCCGCTTCATAGAGTTGCCTTATTGGGTAAATACATGCCATTTCATTATTGTTTTTTTTTTTTCTTCAAATATTTCTTTTTCATTTTCATTCATTCTTGACAAAATCAGGTGTGCCCGATGTTGCCAGAATCTTAATAGAGCATGGTGCCAATGTCAATGCTATAGACAGGAGTGGAACATCCGTACTTCACAAGGCCGCCAGCAATAGTAATTATGTGATATTTTATTTGTTTTTGAAAATCCTAATAAAAGTTACGATTGTCGTCCAATGTAGGTAGAGCGAAGGTCACTGAAGTTCTTATCAAACATGGAGCCCATATTGATGCCATCGATTTTTCAAATGGACAAATGACTCCGATTCATTATGCCGTGGCACAGGGTAATTGTCGCAATGATTTTATTATCATTTTTTTAATGTTCATGTAACATGAACTAGATTTGGAATAATATTTATGAATTTCTAATGCAGGACTGGGTGATGTTGTAAAAGTTCTCATTGATAATGGGGCCAACGTAAATGCTAAGAGTAAATTTGGCAAAATGCCGCTTGATTTCGTTGCGCCGAATGGTAATTTCATAGATTTTCTATTTATTTTCACCACATATAGAACAATTGAGGATATTTTGATCCATTTCAATCATTTTAGGTGAGGAACATATAGAAAAAATGCTCATCGAAAAAGGTGCACATCATTGAAGTTGCCAGTGAAAAAATAGTACGATTCAATGTGTCCAAAATGCATATTTTCAAGATAGATAGATATCTAATATCGTGCGATATTTCCTAGCGGACGCTTAATACACACTGCCGCATTATCCTATACTAAATCAAAGTTCCGCCGCACACATAGGAAAAAACGAATGCAAGCAAGCGATGCGAATATTCTGTTATGCTGCTTTTCTTTATGTGTACGACGGGACGTTGATTCAGAATGACATAATGTCTGTGAAGCGTTCGAAAGCAAATATTGTACGATAATAGGGAGATACTTGTCTTATGCGATATTGAAAATATGCTTTTTGGACACATTGCCACAATTGAATCAATTTAATCGATTTTTTAAAACATTTTTTGGTCAATCACAAATCCCAAAGTCATTCTATTTCTTAAATAGTTGAGACAAAATATGTAATAATGCTAAGAGAATAAAGAAAATGGAAATTTTTGCCTCGAGCCTCGAGATAAATCATTTATCACTAGATTCTCGAATAAGTTTCAAGCTTTACAAGGTGAGTGTACAAAGCAGCAGCAGAAGCAGCAGTAGAAACAACAGTTGCAGCTACTTTAGATTGATAGATTTAAGTAAAATTTTCACAACATTTTTGATTGAATATTCTACGGCAATAATTCAAATTATTTTCGAGGCAAAAAAAACTTATTTGAAATTTTCAATTTTTTTCTCTCGCACGGGAATTGTAACTGAGGCTTAACTTGCTGCTACACAATACCGATCTATATATATTGAAAACATTGAGCAGAACATTAAAAATCAATAATCGTACAATAATGATGCAAGAATTATTTATTGAGTGAGCATGAAGCCAAAGTTCATACATAGCTGAAGGGCTATAGAATTCGATTAATATTAATTGACCTCATTCTGCATTTAAAACACAACTAAAAGTATCACAAATTCTCACAAACATTGCGTACAACATTAAAACACGCAAAAATGGCCACAAATACGGCGTTTATATCGCAAATACTATCCGTTTGAATATTTACTCTGGTTCTCTATGCAGTGTATAGATTGTCAACGCTTGATTTGTGGTCACAAATTTATCGGATGCTACAATCATAGGAAAAAATGTGGGAATTTGTGGTAGTTGAAATGCATTAGCATACAAAATATTTGCGAGGCATGGGAAAACATTGCCCATACGGATGTAGGATAGTTTTTTGTTCATTCTGGCTTTGGAATTCCAGCCACATTTAGTTACAAAACGGAAACGACCTTTATTCGCTAACCAGGTTTCAATGGACGGAAATCGCCACAAACTGAGTTGTGGTTGCAGAAACGTAAAACTGTGATAACATCCAATTACACATGTATATAAATGAACAAACTTTTGCTCGAATCGAAGAGTAGTCGAATAATCGTTGGTTTGAAAAGAAGTGGTGTTCAATCAGAAAAATTCATCGCGATGTCTGCAGAACAGAGTGGAATAACAGATGGTATACGATTACTTTTTCAGCGTCCAAACGAGCCATTATTCACTGTGAAAGACAATGGCAAAACCGTTTTTGAGCTACCATCAAACTTTTATACGGAACGTTACGAAACTATTGGAGCTTCCTTGAGCACTCGAATTGGAGAAGACGTTGAGAAAACAATACATTTGCGACCAATCCAGCAACTGAACCTAGATTTTACGAAGTCAATTCAATTGCGTGGTTCCTTTTCACTGTTTATTAAAAGCCATCAGGTTATTGCGGGCGAATTGATAAAAATATTTTTAGATTCATCTGAGGAAGACTTCATTTCGACAGCAGCCTTCATCAAAGATCGCGTTAATCCATATTTATTTTTGGTAAGAACGACTCAACAATAGTGAAGAATAGTGAAATGTTACCTCAATGGAATATGCAATGAAAAATTGTCGTGATGGAAAATTAACGTTTAAATTGTGATATGAATTCCATTTTTTATGAATATAAATTTGAATTAAATTAATCATTTCAGTACTCATTAGCCACTGCTGTGCAGCATCGAAATGATACACAGAATCTATCATTGCCATCGATTGTTCAACAATTTCCCGATCAATTTGTGGACTCGTCGGTGTTTCCGCGCGCTAGAGAAGAAGGTTCTCTAGTACCGGCTGAAAGTCGTATTCCAATCGAGATAAAAATGAATTTTACAGCATCGGATCGTGAACCAGAACAACGTTTGGCCTATTTTCGTGAAGACATCGGCGTCAATATGCAGTAATTTCTTTTATGGATGAGAACATTCAGTTAAAGATAAAAATTAAATCTGATTTTTTTCTAATTTAGCCACTGGCATTGGCATCTCGTATATCCAGGTGAAGGCCCATTAAATGTTGTGAACAAAGATCGACGTGGTGAACTGTTCTACTATATGCACAGTCAAGTGAGTGAAGCACTCACTTCATTCACTGATGATATCATCGGTATTTTCATCATTTTTACATGCATTTTCATCACATTTCAAGCTCAAAACGTTTTCAACACTATTTCAATGCTTTGAATCTAAGAAAACCAATTAATTGACATTCAAATTTTTAAAACTCCCAAAGCTCGTGGCCCGTTATAACAACGAACGTTTTTGCAATCATTTGGAAAGCGTTAAACCGTTGAATAATTTCCGTGAACGCATCAAAGAGGGATACTTTCCGAAAATTGTACGAAGTTTAAACAATCGTGCATATCCAGCGCGTCCAGACAATGCCCAATTACAGGATCTGCATCGCGATGATGATAATACGGAAATTGCTGACTTGGAACGATGGCGTGATCGAATTCATCAAGCAATTGATCAGGGTTATGTCGTTGAGCAAGGCACCAATCAACACATTCCACTCGACGAAACGAACGGAATTAATATTCTGGGTAATGTGTTGGAAGCGAGTGCGATATCACCAAATCGGCAATTGTATGGGAATCTACATAATTTGGGCCATAATGTTATTGCATACGTTCACGATCCCGATGGTACACATTTGGAAGATTACGGCGTTATGGCTGACGTAACCACGGCGATGAGAGATCCAGTTTTTTATCGCTGGCACGCATTTATCAATTCGATCTGTGTTAAATTCAAAAATACTCTGCGGTCTTATCAACCGAATGAGCTATTGTTTGAAGGTGTTGCTGTGAATTCGGTTGATGTGCAAATTACAACGCAATCAAAAAGCACCATACCAAATCTGCTGTTAACTTATTGGCAAAAGTCAGATGTGGATCTGGGAGCTGGTTTAGATTTTGGTCCCGGCAATGTTTATGCACAAGTAATTGACTTTTGATCAGCAGTCGAATTCCTTATCTTCCTTTTTTACTTATGATTTCTTCTTCCTTTTCTTTTCCATTATCCTCAGTTCACTCATTTACAGCACGCACCCTTTGAATACCGCATAAATATTACAAATGATGCGTCTGTGCCCAAACAAGGCACTTGCCGCATATTTTTAATCCCGAAATTCGATGAAAGAGGTGAAGCACTGCGCTTCCGTGAACAGCGATCTTTTGCCGTTGAAATGGACAAGTTTGTGATTAATTGTAAGAGTATGAACAATTGCGTTACATCAAAAAGAATATTTTTTAATTAATTTTTTCCCTCAAATTTTTCATTTTCTCTTTGTGTGAAGTAAATCCAGGAGCAAACGAGATCCGTCGACGTTCGGAACAATCGAGTGTGACAATTCCATATGAACGATCATTCAGGCGTATTGGAAGTGAATACCAACCAAAGAATGGCGAAGAACTGGCTCAATTCCAATTTTGTGGTTGTGGGTGGCCACAACATATGCTTCTGCCGAAAGGAACTCCAGCAGGCACCAAGTATGACATTTTCGTTATGGTCAGCTCATATGAACATGATCGCGTCGATCAAGTGTTAGATAGGTAACTTTTTTTAAAAATTTATTTGAAAAAAAAAAAAGATTTTATACAAAGAACCATATGGTTCTACATCAAGCTCTGATGTGGACAGCATTGTTTGATATATCACAGTGAATATTGTTTGGGTTAAAAAAAAAACTGAGCAGATTTTTCATGGTACTGAGTCCTTTCCACTGATATGCATTCCAAAGCTGTTCGCATATGGCCCAAATGAAACACAGTGTGATCCAAACCGGGGGCACTTCAAATGTCACTCGATCTGAACACACACACACTCATACAAAATAATCAAAACTCTTTACCTTTACATTTCATTCTAGCGGTGTACTATGTAACGATTCGTTTTCATTTTGTGGATTAAGGAACAAAAAATATCCTGACGCCCGTCCCATGGGCTATCCATTTGATAAAAATTCACAATTCAACAATCTGGACATTGGATCATTGACGGAATTTACTGAACATTTGACAAATGCGACTCTAGGTGAATGTTCGATTCGTTTCACAGATGCAGTCATCGATCGTGTTTAAGTGCGCTCTGCTTCAAAAATTTGTTTCATTTGAATTTTGCTTACTATTCATGCGATTGACTGATGCTGATTGCGTGAAGTTTACTCCGTAATAACCGAATGATGTAAATAAAGTGAAAAATAAAACAATCGTCTGATCATCTTATCTTACATTTATGTAATTGAATCGACGATATTCAGACATTCCAAAGCAAAAAATGCGTTTAATAAATGCGAAATGTTTATAATACAAACTTTGTAGCTCCACATTTTCAATATTGCATTCATAGCAGTACAAACTTAAGGGAGTCATCTTGATCTTTCTCTCTCTCTTCGAATTTTCTTCTAAACAAATTCAGCTATGATCGAAAAGAATCAACTTGAATACATTAGGACACATCAATTACACCCAGTTAATTTTTCAACGAAATTGAATTAAATTCCCTTTAAATCGGTTATTATTCGCAAAAGCAATGAAACACAAGAATTTATTTCATTTTTCCGTCACTTTCCCCTCAAAGATGTGAGTGAGCTCCAAGAATTCAGCAGTCGATTTGTCATTTTTGTGTTCATAAACATTGTTAGCATTTTTAGGTCTTCGCTTGGTCGACAGTGTCTGATCGACTCAACATTGTTTTCCAGTTTAATGAGCAACAAATTTCAAACGCAACATTCACAGCACCCGACCTATTCATTCCGACCAACAACAGAACTAACCTCTGAACATTTCACTCATTGCGAAATGTCGGCGGCAAAGTAACAACCTAAAAAAAACGGTGGTATTTCGGAATGAATGAGCAAAGTAAAAACCGTTTGCATTCTTGGTAAATAACACTTGAGTAAATGTTGCTTATTAAGAAAAAAACACGCGGCTTAACAACAGAATGCTAGTGATCAGAGCAATCAAAACAAATAATATATACACCGTGCGAATTAATTAAAACGTATGTACACAAGCCGAAAAACACACGAACCGACCATTTACAGCGATCTAAGAGCCAGAGCAGCCACATCGCCTGCGTTGAATATAAAAAAAAATTAATGCTTTGCCTAATTTGCATTACAAAAGGTATCGAGAATGAGAGAAATAGAAATTAATTATTGTTGATTATAGTCTAATTCAAATTCAAGCAATTTTTTTCATTTCATCTTTCATTCTGTATCGCTTTTTATACCATTCTAAATCGATCCATTCGGTGGTATTTCGAATATATGCTCTTTTCGTAATCATTTATTCCGATAAGTTTCAATTTGCTACGTTGTGTTCAATGAACATTTCTTAAGACGCATTCAGCATGGCAATAAATTTCAAACGGATTGTGCCAACTGTTTATCTATCGTTTTTTTTTTTGCGATAAGCACAAACACTAAATTTGTTCTTCATTTCGAAATTTGAATTCAGTTTAACGTGTTTTTTTAAACGTTGTTTGTGTTACATTTACGTGATGTCAATGTTCTGCCGAGCGGCAAGACTTTTTTTTCTTGTGACCGCGCCAAGTGACAAGACAGTGGAGTTCTTCTTCGTCTTCTTTCATAAACTTCTATAGTCTCTTTTGGAAGTCTTCAAAGTATGTCTCGATGTGTTTTGTCCGTAGGTGTACATATTTGTTTTGTTTAGAAGAGAATTTACCGGGCAATTTATCACTAAATTCAAAACAATTGGCCATTTATCATCAATGTTGTAAAAGTGGGCTATTTTGAAAACACACTCAGGCTATCGCACTGGTAATCGGCCGCAAAAACGGTTTGAAATGATGTCCACCGTACGAATGAGAGACCCAAATATCGCAATCGCTCTTCACGACGCTGAAAATGTTCCAATGAGACACGAACCGAAGAAACAATCATGCAACAATGAAAACCGTTGCCGAGAGAGAGAGATAGAGAAACATGAATGTGTGAAGAAATTTTGAGCGTGTAGAAAAAAATGCGGAAATTGTTTGAAATTTGAAAGCGCGCTAGACACACAGGTCACGATTCGGCTGTGTTTGTGTGTGTTTGTGTACACTGTTCTTTTTGTTCCATTGGATTGAATAGAGACATTTAAAAGCCACAACAATATACCGCTTGAAACCGTACACACAATTTTGGCGATGAATAAAAACAAATGCGGCGTTTGATGTGTGGAAAAAAGTCGAACGGCCGACGAGATGGTGTGGGTAAAGGGCAGCCGGAGAAGAGGCGAACAAAGTTGTGGTGATTGTGTGTGAGAACAGAGAGAGAGAGAGAGAGAGAGAGAGAGAGAGAGAGAGAGAGTGACGGAATCGAAGAGAGAAAAACTAAAACAGAAAATGATTGAAAGAGAAAAAATCAGAAGAGAACGGAGCGAAATGAAGCAAAAAAACGCAAACAGACGAAGAAACCGATCGAACAAAAAAAAACTAGGTAGCGAAAAAGAGAAGAAAAAGAGGCAAAAAACAGAAACAAAAACATAGCAATGCTAGCACATGGTTTGCACGTACTTCGCATACATGCACAGACCGCGCGCGACTGTTCAAGCATTCGGTTGCAATGCACACTTACGATGCGGCTCGTGCTTTTGTGTGTGAATCACTCGAATGCTGTTGCTTTCACAGCTGTCAAAGTACTACCATACAAAAGAGAGCGGCCGACCGAACGGGAGAAAGAGAAAGACGTAGCACCAAAGCAACGTGTGCACTTTGTGTTTTTGTATTGTTCCGTGTACGCTATTTCTTTCTTTCTTTCATTCTTCTGTTCACCTCTTCTCTAATCAATATTGTTGTTATACTTTGTTTTTCCATTTCGTTTGCGTTGCTGTTTGTCGGTGGCCCGAGTCGTGTGCTAGTCTCAGTAGTACAAAGGCACGAGTAAAAGTCGACAGCATTTCTCTCGGTTCACGCTGTCTGTTTATTCCATATATTTATTTATTTTTCTTCTGTAGATAAGTTTTTTTTTCGCTGCGCTAATTTGTGTCCGATTCATCGGAATAAACGGCAGCATTTTTGTTTTGTTTTGTTTCGTCTATGGTGCTATCGCTATTGTCAAACAAACAATCACTATCAGATTGATTGTTTCGTCGAATTGGACTCTCTTTTATGTTAATTGTGTTAGTTCAGTGCAATCAGTGATTGCCAATCACAAAGTGCTCATTCTCGTTAAATGTGACGAAATCAAAAGTGTTCAACACGTGAAGCAGAAAAAAAAAATTGTGTCAAAAATTTGTAGCCGAGAAGGAATTTGGTTCGTCGATTGTACAGAAAAATTTGAAACAGATTGCATATTGTTTGTGCAAATTAAAGCATTTTGAAATTGTTTGAGCCCAGCTGAAAAATTCATAAATTTACTCGTACCAAAGTGAAGAATTCCGGAATTTAGATCGGAAAAAGAGAAGAAATAAGGAATTTTAATCGTGCAAAAGTGGCAAATTTATAAATTTTTTTGCACAACAGGAATTTTACTAAAAAAAAAAGAAACGAATGTTCAGTGAAATGTCGAAAATGTCGTGAATTTTGTGTTGACGTACCCCAAAATCGATCGAGTGTGTGAATGTTTTTTCCCGTGGCCACTCAAGAAAAAAACGCGCACACACACACACGCAGCGACAATAAGATCACATTCTTATTGGACGGTGGCTATGGAATTGTTGTTGCACTGTGTCAGTGTGAATGGGAAAAGAATAAGAAGAAGAAGACAAACCGACAACGAAGACGAGAAGAAGCAAAAAAGCATACGAAAGACACACGAAGTAACCGTAACGAAACGTATAAACGTCACACACTCCAGCACCTAATTAAGTGGCCCAAGAGTTTCGAGTACGACAAGATTACGAAATAATCTACAATTATGGCAAAACGACACACTGCTTATATTACGGTAATTCTCTAATTCATGTAACAAATCTATTTCTCGCTTCGTCTCTCGTTCATTTGGCGCGGTCGCGGCCGCTGCTGCCACCGCTGTTATCGTCGTGGAAGTTGTTGTGTGTTGCGCACTGCATGTGAGAAATTTAATACATTCATGGACGCGCGATATATGATGTAATTTGTGCGGTTTCTTTCGTTTCGTTTTTTCATTTCTTACTACTCTGACACAGAAAATTCAAGTGATATTTGTTATTATTTTTTAAACAAAATGCGTGTGTGTTTTTTCACCCATTGCGACATACATAATTTGTTTTGTGTGACTGAGTTTTTTTTTTGTTTATCGCTGATTTCTCAATTGGTGTGTGCGATTTTTCTATCGTTGTTTTTGTGCAGGGTGCACGAGTCTGGATACCGAATGCAACCACAGTGTGGGAAGGCGCTCAACTGGTTGACGACTTTCATGAAGGCGATAAACAATTGAAAATTTGCTGCGATGCCGGCGACGAGCGTGTCATTGAAATACGAACCGATAATGATTTGCCATTGCTACGGAATCCAGCTATTCTCATTGGACAAAATGATCTTACCGCCTTATCATATCTACACGAACCGGACGTTTTGCACACACTTGAAGTGAGGTGAGTAATGCGAATGAAATACAAAGCAACAAAAACGCATTTTTTTTCTGCTGAAACAATTTCATTCATGCAACATGAATATAACACATGTTTATTCAAATCGAATGGAATGTTTGCCGCGAGATTAATCAACACACTGATTCATATTAAATTATCACAATGGCATTCAGAGATAAGCGAAGAAAGCGACTATTTAGCTGCGAATTAGCAGAAATTCGCATTTTTCGGGGCAATTTGCTTTTGTTTACGAAACAAAACAATTTCGATCCGTGCAATTTGAACCATGGAATTCGATACGTAACATTCAATCGACCGCTATATAATAGCTTTTAACCGTGAAAAACCGACTGGATTTGAACTTTTGAACCGAATCATTCGGAAGTTGAATGCGCAATTTTGTGGGTGAACGAAAATGCTCGCTGATTGGATTTAAAATGAGCGAATTGATTTTCGATTTGATTAAAATTGATGAGTTTGTTGAAATATTAGATGGTTTTTGGTAGAAAATGGGCGGTTTTGTTGAAAAATTTGACTTTTTAAATTCAAAATTAGGCATTTTCACCTGAAAGTGGAAATGTTTATATAAATCTGCATACAAAAAATCGATTCCAAAATGATTTCAATAAAAAAAATTCGAACGTTCCATGAAGATTGGCAAATCGAATTGGCATGGGTTGAAAATCCATATCATGTTTTGAAACGTACGTAATTCCGAATTATCAATTTGTTCGTGGAATCATCATTAATGATGGAAATTCGAATTTGTATTGGAAATGGGGCCATTTTTGATACAACATCAAGACTTGAGACGTTCAAAATATTGAACTTGTACGAAAAAATCAATGTAAATTACTTAAATTCAACGATCAAGTGTTATTATACTGTCTCCATGAACATTGAATCAATTTTCCATTGTGCTAATGCTATTTTGAGAGGTACAGTCTGTTCATTTCGTGTCATTTTGTACATTTTTTGCTAATTTCGAGTCACCTCCAGTGATTTTTGCATTTTTCCGTGATTTTTGCATTTTTCCGTGATTTTCTGACTTTCAAAGCATTTTCCCGAAGGTAATAACAGCCTTTCTTCTTCAGATACCATCTTTGGCGCCTTTGAAGCCATTTTAAATTGCCCAAAGCTAATGATAGTGCGCGACGATTCATAATTTATGAACAGTCAATAATGATCATTGATCAGTGTTCGATCTGAAAATTATAGACAGTTTTTGATAGGTACTTAAATCTTCTTCTTCATTTCGATCATATCGCAAACCTAAGACATCTTCAGTTTCCAATTTTAGCTCCCGTTCATCGATCTCTACTTTCAACTAAAAGTCTTTGAACTTTGCATCATCTTCCGAAATATCGTTCGAATCACACTTCTGTTGAATACAACTTTGAAACACGAAAATGTTGAACATTTTAATGTTCGAATCACACATACGCTCAATCATTAATGTCAATCACGATCAGATCTATAAAAAAATCACACGCTAAACGGGAATTGTCATCTCTAAATAAAAGTCAAGCAATCACGCTTTTGAATGCATTAATACAATGTTAACGATTTGTTTAATTGACTCCAGTTGATGGAAATTGCATGATAATCGAATGGTTTGGTTTATCGAATCGTCAACTTTGATCGGCTTTAGTGCTCGAATTCTCGTGTTGAAATTCTCAGACGTATTTCAATTAAACTCATTTTTCCATCAAGATTAGCGAAGAAAAGCTCGAAAAGAAATGCTTAGAGTATTGCATTTTTGAAACGATTATCTTTATTAATTTTTTTTTACTTTAAATTTTTTCTTTGAAAAATCTTTTTTTACTCCATTTTCTGTACAAAATTCTTCATTTTTGGGATCAAATCTTGACTTTTTCACTCATTTGTCAATAGTTAATCAGTAATTTTTTTTTATTTGTTCGAATTTTGATTCTTTTCTGACATTTGTCTCCAAAATTGTGAAAATTTGTCCAAAGTTTTACTCCAAAAATCAACGATTATTCAGAATTTTCATTCAAAATTTCAATAACTTTCAATTTTTTTCTCCTAACTTGAACTTCCGATTGTCATCTCTTTGTCATTCCGAAATTTCCGTTTCAGATTCTGTGATCGTCAGACAATCTACACGTATTGTGGTATCGTTTTAGTGGCCATAAATCCATATGCGGAGTTGCCATTGTATGGTCCGGACATCATTCGGATGTATCGAGGTCAGACGCACCAAAGTCTGGAGCCGCACATATTTGCGGTGGCTGAAGAGGCTTATGCGAAATTGGAGCGCGAAAAATGTGATCTCAGTATAATTGTATCGGGTGAATCGGGTGCTGGTAAAACGGTATCAGCCAAGTATGCGATGCGATATTTTGCAGCGGTTGGCGGCAATGAATTCGAAACGCAAATTGAACGCAAGATTTTGGCCAGTAATCCGATTATGGAAGCCATCGGCAATGCAAAAACCACACGTAACGACAATAGCTCGAGGTTTGGAAAGTTCACCAAGCTGCTGTTCACCAATCGAATGAATGTGATGTCATTGACAGGAGCCACAATGAACACATATCTGTTGGAGAAATCGCGTGTTGTGTTCCAAGCGCCGGGTGAACGAAACTATCACATATTTTATCAGCTGTGTGCGGCCCGTGATCAATGGCCCGAATTGATGTTGGATCATCAGCAAACGTTTCGGTATTTGAATCAAGGGAATACACCAAACATCAATCGTGTTTCGGATTTGGATCAATTCTCTGAAACGGTGGCTGCACTGGATACGCTCGGGTTCACAGCCGGTGATGTCGACGACATCGTTAAGACGTGTGCTGCCATTTTGCACTTGGGCAATGTCAACATTGCGCCGCATAAACGCAATTCCAAAGAAGCCGATCAAGAAGAATGCGACATTTCCAGCGATGATTTGCATTTGAACCTCTTCGCCGATATTATGCAAGTCGACCGGGAACAGCTACGCAAGTGGCTGATTACACGACAAATTGAATCGATTAACGAACACGTTCTGATTCCGATGAATCAAATTGCAGCGGAAACGGCACGTGATGCGCTCGCCAAACATATTTATGCAAAACTGTTTACACACATCGTCAATATTGTGAATAAGAATCTGGAAAGTGGCCATAAACAGCACTGCTTCATTGGCGTTCTCGATATTTATGGATTTGAAACGTTCGATATCAATTCGTTTGAACAGTTTTGCATCAACTATGCCAACGAGAAATTGCAGCAGCAATTCAATCAACATATCTTCAAACTGGAACAAGAGCAGTATTTGAGCGAGGGCATCGATTGGACCATGATCGACTTTTATGACAATCAACCGTGCATCGAACTCATTGAATCGAAATTGGGCATCCTGGATTTACTGGACGAAGAATGTCGGGTGAGTGATTGGAGTTTCTTGTTTTTTGTTTCGCATTTCTTGCCGTTGGATCATTGAAAGTGATTTTAACTTTGCCGCGAACCATTTTTTTTCTTTACCGACAGGTTTAAAAACTCCATTAGCCCATCGATTGAGCTAATTTGGTTCATTTCAATTTCTATTCGATTGAATTGGTGGACTTTGTTCAGAAGTAGCTCAAAGTCGGTGCAAGACTTAAGCTTGAACTTTGAACTAATTTTTCTTTCTCCACTCATTTTTTTCCCTCATTTTTGAATCAAATCCAAAGAACTTTACGTCTGTCTTCATTCTGTTCCAACCATTTTTACGGCTTTCTTCATTGAATCTTTGAATGAAGTTCATTCTATTTCGATTCCTTATTGTGTCTTTCTTCGTTCTTTTTCAATTCCTTAGAATTCGCTCATTTCCAACAGACGCTGTGTCTTCGCTTTATTTCAAACTAACAAAAAGAAGAAACACATAAGAGCTCGGAAATCCATTAAAAGTTCATAAAAGTACTGAAAGAGTTGTTTTTTTCCGCTTTGAGCTCGATCTATTTTCGATTTGTTCGCATTTATTGAATTTAATAACAATAACTATACAATTTTGCCAATTGAAACAGGTGCCAAGAGGTTCAGACGAATCGTGGGTGGGGAAACTGAATGAAAAATGTGCCAAATACAAGCATTTTGAAAGAGCTCGCTTCGGTAATGCGTGTAAGTATACGTTGACTTTTACTTTACCTCACTTTCGGTGTCTGTTTTGCTTTTTCATTCTTTCTGCGTGTTATTTTCGATACTTATTCGATGATTGGTTATTGTTTTTCATTAAACAAACGCAAAATTCTGTATTTTCAATCCAATTTTTGTCATTTTCTATGGAACAAAGAAGAATGAAGTTGTCTTTTTTCATCCAATTTTTCAGTAAGCATGCTTACGGTAGCAGCTGACCTCAAAGAATCTTTTTTCAATTATTTGTTCGTAACGTAATCAGTTTGAAGAAAAAAATCAATTGAATAATGTTCAATGAACGTGTATTTTCCCCGAAAAAATCAAACCAATTCCATTTCCCAATATTAAAAAATTCCATGGAGAGCAATGTTCAATGAAACACTCAAAATTCTAATCCGCCTCCCATTTATCGTTTCAGCCTTCGTAATCAAACATTTCTCGGACACCGTGCAGTATCAATCGACGGGATTCTTGGAGAAAAATCGCGACACAATCTCAAAGGAGCTGGTGAATGTGATGCGAGAGTCAAATTTGCCCATTTGCCGTACGTTGATAGCGTTGGAAGAGCGTACTTCGTCGCATGGCAAAGAAACCAGTCTTGATGGTCGTGTCAAGATCAACGCCGCCAAACATTTGGTAAACAATCCGGTTTTTATTACTTTTCGGGTGAATTTTTATGTTCCAAAGAACAACACACTTCTCTGTGGACTTTTGTTAGATTGAATTCTATTTCTTTGAATTTTATTTGATTACATTTCTTCTGGAGTTTTTTTTTCTTCCAAAGTTTTACTTCAGTTTGAAACAAAAACTCCAAGTTTGAATTAATTTAGCACGTTTTTTCCTTCACCGTGTGTGTGTGTGTGTGTTCTGTTTCTATTTTTCCATTTGAAACCTTTTGATTATCATTTTTATGGCCCACTGTCTGATGGTTTAATGATTTTATGTTTGTCGCTGTTTCTCTGTTTCAGGAATCGAAACCCGCGCCGAAAAGAGTTAGTCCGACTTTGAACGTTATCTCCTTGTTCATTTGCATCTATAAATATAACACAGGCAGAGAGAGAGAGAGAGAGAGAGACTAATTTTTGCGCTAGATTTTAGATAAGACGGTCATGGTTTTAATCGATATCTCTCTCCCTCTCACTCACTAATGACCTCTGTGCATAAAATACACACTTTCTTTCGATAAATCGATATAATTCCGCTTGAATATCGCTGATATCAGCAAAGATAACAATGGCAAATGGTTTTGATAACTTTTTCTTTACCTTAAATGGCACCAAGCCGATTTCTAATCGCAAACTAACCAACTCGATACACCGTTTTTCTTTGTTTTTTGGCCTACGGTGCGGTTTTTTTGGTTGAATTTACACTTTTTCGGGATTTTTTTTTCCATTTTTTTTGTATAAATCTCCAATTTCTTCTTTTTTCCCGATATTTTGCCTTTATTTTCTTTAATTTGCACAATTTTCTGACTTGGAATATAATATTTCATTTAACCTTTATTTATTAAAATGCATTTTATATCCACAAATTATTCAGTTCATATATAACATAAATTGATGAATTCCGATTTGTTCGATTTAAAATTCATCATGCAAACATCGTTTTCGAATCGTTTTTTAATTTTCGAATAAATATTGACATAATAATTAATATTAATTTATGAATTTTACATTCATTTAAAACATTTCATTGAGTAAAAGTGCACCGTGGGAATTCGAGAAAGGTGTTTGATTGATAACTTTTCGATGGCTTCGACTTAGTTACTTTCGTTCAAGCCACCCTATTTTCTTTCCATTGATTAAGTTTGGCTTGAGCATGGCAGACCTTTATGACAACTTTATTAGTTTTAAGACGTTATCTACTCTCTTTTAAACGGTTTAATCTCTTCAAACTGTTAACAGCTTTGGTGATAGGACCATTTAAGCATTCTCATTTTTTATGATGGGACGAAATGGTGTCATTTTGATTCTCTCATTTTCGATCCGACATTTTCTTAACAATTCCACAACCTTTATTCATCCTTTATTACTTTATTTTAAGCCATTTAATCATAAAACGGTGTCTGTTCAAGCAACCTACTAACTGGGGTTTTGGTTTACCATATTTACGTACAAACAACTAATGTCAAATCTCTTCAAATAGGTTCAACCGTCAAAACAACACAAACACACCGTGGGAACACAGTTTCGAGACAGTCTTACGAAATTGATCTCAACACTGCATGCCACCACTCCGCATTATGTTCGTTGCATCAAGGTAATTTTGACATTTTTTCGGTTCTAACCCAATCGCATACCAACTTAAACAAAAACGAACATTAATGTTCGAATACTCTCAATCAAATACGACTCAACCCAATTTGCTTTAAACTCAAAATTTTATTCAAAAACTAATCCCATGCTTTTCACTCATTTCTCTTCAGCCAAATGACGACAAAGTCGCCTTCAAATGGGAATGCCAGAAAATAGTGCAACAGTTACGAGCTTGTGGTGTCTTGGAGACAGTTCGAATTTCGGCCGCTGGTTTTCCATCACGATGGACGTATGAGAATTTCTTCAGTCGTTACTTTTTGCTGTGTAAATTGAGCCAGAGCAGTGACGACGAACGGGGGTCATGCGCACACATTGTTCAAAATTACATCACCGATGAGGATAAATACCGATTTGGACACACGCAGATATTCTTTCGCGCTGGTCAGGTGAGGTGTTGAGTCAACACAGTTGGCACTCTTTCTGAAAAAGCTTCGAATTCGGAAGAAAATGTCGGCTTTTGTTTATTTTTATTTTTTCATCAAAATGTCCTGTTCTATCCAAATTTTGATCTGAATGAAAATCTAACTCATCTCTCCCCTTGTTCCATTCACCAGGTGGCATTGCTAGAGCAAATCCGAACGGACTTACGGAAACGATATATAATCCTCGTACAATCGATGGTGCGTCGATTCATTGCGCGAAAGAAGTTCCTGCGAAACAAGCAGTTGGCATTGGGATTGCAACGATATTGTCGTGGCTATTTGGCGCGTTGCAAGGCGCAGTCGATACGTCGCGAACGTGCTGTGGTTGTGGTTCAGCGACGAGTACGTGGTTGGTTGTGCCGAGTGAAATACCAGCGCGTCCTAAGTTCGGTTCTTTTGATTCAAACGTATGGCCGTGGTTTGCTGGCGCGTCGCTTGTTTGCTGTTCAAATGGACAACTACAAAGCGACTGTCATCCAGCGCTATTGCCGTGGTTATTTGGCGCGAAAAGCCTTTACCGAACGCAAACGCAAAATTATCATCGGTCAATCGGCCATTCGTCGTTTCTTGGCTCGTCGTCAATTCAAGAAACTGAAGGCCGAAGCGCGAACCATAACCCACATGCAGAAAATGTACAAAGGTCTTGAGAACAAAATCATTTCGCTGCAGCAGAGAATCGATGAGCTCACCAAATCCAATCAACAGCTATCAAAACAAGCGGCTGAAGTGCCTGAGCTCCACACCAAATTGGAAGCAAAGAAACAGATCGAAGATGAATTCAACAAATTCAAGGCACATGCCCAGATTCTTGAGAACCAAGTCGAAACGTTGAATAAACAATTGGACGAAGAGAGAGATGAAAAACTGGCTGCTTTGGATGAAAAAGCCAAAGAGGAAGCGGAATTTAAGCAGAAGTTCTTTGCGATTAGCGCTGAAAATGAACATTTGAACCGGAAAATTGAAGAACTCCAAGAAAATCAAAAGGAGGTAGCGTCTGCCGAACGATCACAAGTGCTGTCCGATTTGGATGACAACGAAATTCATCAAGCTTATCAGAAAATCGCACAGGAGAAGGAACAATTGGAGAAAGAGAACTTCTTACTTAGCCAAGAGGTCGATCGACTTAGTCGATTACAGCCAAACTCGTACTTGTCACATTCTAGATCGGTTAGCAACGTTTCTAGCGTGAATATTGACGAAGATTTTGGTTATGCATCAGCCAAAAA